TGTTCCTTCTGCTTCAGCTGGGCAGTTGACAAACTCTCGGCTGCGCAGTCTCTCATGCTGGTTAAATGTTCCCTTAAGTCCTCAATGTAGCTGTTGATATCACTCTCCGGAATGTCCTCTGCTCCTGTCCATGCTTCCTTCAAAATGTCCATAGGTCCTCTTGGTGTTCTCCCATATAGCAGTTCAAATGGGCTGAACTTGGTGCTGGCTTGTGGAACCTCCCGATAAGCAAACAAGAAGTGTTGTAGTTTCTTGTCCCAATCATTAGGGTTCTTGTGGACGTACGCCTTCAGCATGTGGTTGAGGGTACCGTTGAATCTTTCCGTCAAGCCGTTGGTTTGAGGATGGTATGGAGTAGAAGTAAGATGCTTGATCTTGCAGGTCCGGAACAGCTCTTGCATCATCTGGGACATGAAGGTGGCTCCAAGATCTGTGATGATAGATCTGGGAAAACCCACGCGTGCAAATACATTGAGCAGCGCGTCTGCCACTGTTTTGGCGTCCGTTTCCTTCAATGGAATTGCCTCTGGGTATCGCGTGGCAAAGTCCACGGCAGTCAAGATGAATCTATGTCCATCAAGCGTCTTGTGGGACATAGGGCCAATGTTGTCTACTCCGACCTTGTCAAAGGGAACAGTGACAACTGGAATGGATTGTAACAGTCCTTTTGTCTTGTCTTTGGCTTTTCCCACCATTTGACAAGTCTCACAGGATTTACAATAGGCTGTCACATCACCTCCCATTCCAGGCCAAAAAAATCTTGACTGTATGCGATCTTTGGTTTTCCTGATACCTAGGTGTCCACTGAATGTGGTATCATGGGCTAGCTTGAGGATTTTAGCCCTATACTTTTGTGGAACTACCAGTTGTGTTCTTTCCTCAAAGAATTTGGGACCTTTCTGTCTCCTCACAACTCGGTACAATTTATTCTCCACAACTTTCAACATAACTGGATTTTCACTTGTGGGTGTGTGGTTTTCTGGGACCACTTCATCCCATAAGGGTTTTAAGCTTTCATCACGTCGTTGAGCTGCTTCAAACTGCCTCATATGGCTTTGGCTCAAACTGAAGGGAATTTCTTGGCTGACATTTTCATTTTGTGAGGTAGATGGTTGCTCATCTGTAACAGTGTATTCAGCCTCCCTATCTCGTTCAGCTTGGCTTCTGG